TCAACTCCAGTAGTTACAGAGGAACTAAAGAGCCCCTATGTCAAACCTAAAGGAGATAAGTGTTACTGATATGATTAATAAAGGCATCATTCTAATAAGTGCCCTAAAAGACGTACAATGAATCTGGTCGATGTTGAAGTAACTAATTGGGAAAAGAGCTACCGCATGGAGGATGAGGCTTTCGAGGAGGAAGATGATAGTGTGTGGACATATGGTGATGAGGGGATCTCCCTTGTTGTTCGTTGACTGATGTATACTCTTAAGATTAAGATGACATTTAGAGACACAATATATTCTAAACCAAGTGCACCATGAACCAGAAGGTTTATTAGTTGATTATTGATGGTGGTAGTATTGAGAATATTATATCCTGGGAGGTGATCGACAAGTTACAGTTACAGATTGAGAGACACCCTTTTCCCTAAACGATTTGCTAGATTAAGAGCATCGGCAAAACTAAGGTAACAAAATAGTGTACATAACAATGATACTGTGTGTGACGTTTTAGATATGGATGAGTGTCATATTCTATTAGGGGACTGTGGTATTATGTCTTGAATTTTGTCCATAGAGGCAAAGACAACACGTATACCTTTTACAAATATGGTGTTACAATTATGTTTGTCCCTATAGTAAGAGAGATTCATTTTGTAGCCTCTCAGGCAAAGGGCAAACCTTTTTTTATTGTTTCTTCCATTGATGAGGATGTAAAGGATAGTGGAGAGGTATATGTCATTGTGGTAAAGGGTGAAGAGAAGCAGTAGGTTGAACCTAAACCAATTCCTGAGTTGCTGAGACCACTGCTTTATGAGTTTTGGAGAATTTGGCCAGGGGAGTGTGCAATTTGTTTGCCTCCTTTGAGGGACGTCAAATCATATTGACTTGGTGTTTGGGGGTACTCTTCCAAACCTGCCCCATTGTAATAGCTGAGACTACCGGGCATAGAACGTAGCGATGAAATTACTGAGACTACTGGGCATTATTGGATGAGTCCCAAAGAGTTCAAAATATTACACTATCAAGTTGATGAGCTACTACAAAAGGGTCAAATTAGGATGAATATGGGTCATTGTGTTGTTCCTACTCCACTCACTGCTAAGAAGGATTGGAGTTGGAGGATATGTGTTGATATTCGGGCCATCAATAAAATCACTGAGAAATATAGATATCCTATACCCTATCTTGATGATATGCTAGATATATTTGAGGGTGCTAATGTATACTCCAAGGTTGACTTAAATAGTGAGTATCATCAGATCCATATTAGACCTGGTGATGAGTGGAAGACTATCTTCAAAATGAAGGAAAAATTGTATGAGTGGTAGGTTAAGTCATTTAGTTTGTCTAATGCTCCTAGCACTTTCATTCGATAAAACATCCAAGTGTTCAAAGCTTTCATTGAAAAGTTTGTTTTCATTTATTTTGATGATATATTAATTTATAGTTGTGATGAGGCTGACCACTTATAGCACTTGAGAACAATTTTTGTAACTTTGTAGGAGAACAATCTATTTCTGAACTTAAAGAAGTGCAGTGTTATGATTGTTAGCCTGGTGTTCTTAGGATATGTGTTTAGTGCTACAAGGATCTCAGTAGATGTTGAGAAAATTCGGGGGCTAATCACGTGTGGCCCACACTATAGACAGTCAATGAGGTTCACATCTTTCATGGCTTGAGACCTTCTATTGAAGATTTGTGAGGAATTTCAGCACCATTACAACATCCCTTCCTTATTGCTTGAAGTAGAAACAGTTGCAATGGATTCATCAAGCAATAAGGAAAAGCAAAAGCAGAAGCAGAGTTTTCTATTGACAATGTTTCCAATAGATCCACTAGAAGGTCCCCATTCCAGATTGTCTACATTCGAGCACTCTACCCACATTTTATCTAGTTCCATTACCAAGCTTTCAAGGGTGAACACTTTGGCTGACCACATCCTGAAGAAGCTGACAGATGTACATGTAGAGGTGAAGCAATAGTTGGAACCGTTGGTAGCCAAGTACATGGAAGCAACAGACAAACACCGATTGAAGAAGCATTTCAATATTGGGGACATGGTTATAGTTCATCTGTGCAAGAGAGATTATCAGTTGAGACTTATAGCAAGCTCAACTAAAAGAAGATAAGTCCATTCAAGATTCTAAAGAAGATTGATGACAATGTATATGTTGTTGATCTCCCCGCAGATATAAGTATCTCTATCATTTTCAACGTGCAGGACTTGTTCCAATTTTATTTAGATTCTATCAATCTTCCACGTGCTAACTCGAGAACAAGTTCTTTTCAAGATGGAGGAATTGGTATAAAACGTGTCACAACAGATTATTTGGAACGGGAAGACCATCACGCATTCAAAGCGCAACAGAAGGTGGCAAAATAAAGTGGGCACAAGAATTAGAAGAATATTCTAAATTATTAGTTGACTAATTCATGTCAACTTTCATAAGTAATATCCACCATGTGTTTTTGTTAGAGTTGTTAACTTTCCTATATCTATGAGGCATATGTTTTATTTATTTTTAGTAAATTCCTATAATTAGGACTTTATTTCCATTTATGAATTTGGGCATGCATATAAATAGGCCTGATGTACTAAGATTTTATTCATTCAATCAACAAAATCTCATAGTTTTTTCTTATTTTCTCTGTGGATTCATAGTTGTTATTGTTCTATAAACTTAGAATTGGTGATTTCTTTATATCCCCATCACTACTGCATTAGTCACCCTCTTGTGCTTATTGCCCTTGTCTCTTACACTTGGTTTAATACATGTTTGTGAAGTGGAGTACACTATGAAAATACTTCATAGGGTTTTCTCCATTGCATACTTCATAGGGCTTTCTCCATCACATACTTCATAGGGTTTTCTCCATCGCTAATCTAATACACAAAAAAATTCCTCAGATTGGCGTAAAGTTGTGGTTATTCGAATGTACAGATAGTGACCCTTCTATCACTTGCTCGCTCCATATCCCCTTAACAGCGTCCAAGGCATGTACTTGGATGGTTTAAAATTTTTCTTTGCCCTATTCACTGACGTCCAAAGATTTTGTCTTCTAATGACGTCGAAAAACACATTGTTTAGTTATCCTTGTCATGATTTGTTCACTCTTTTTCGCTATCAAAATATGATGACTTGGAGTTTCTTTCTATTATTTTTGGCTAGTTGAAGCAATAGGATTGATTTTTGAGCTCCTATAGTGTGAGCCATTTTGATTCTAGATGAATCTTTTATCGTTATTATGTGTGCTTTCAAAAAAATAAAAAATATGGAGAAAAGTAAGAAGAGATAAAAAAAAGTTAGGAAGAGGGAGTGATAGAAAGATAAGGAGGCATATAAATGAAGAGTGAAATGAAAGAAAGACGTTTTGACAAGTGGATCGACAAGTGAGTTAAGTCATCCAACAACTCTTGTGGTTTGTTAGATGGTGTCCTATGATGAATTATCTTTTGACATTCTTCTTTATATCCTTGGCTAAAAAAAAAATTTCACACCCATTGCATGTTTGATCCAATTTTAGAAATGAGCTAGAATATATTATTGGTTAGTCTAACAAAGTTTCCATTTCTAGATCCAATTCATTAATTATAGTTATAGGTGATAATAGAACCAATATTGGCTATTCTTAGGCTTAATTTAATCAAACTTTTCAAATGATGTTTAAGCTCAGATCGAGCTCAGACTATTGCTCAAGCTTGGAAACAAAATTTTTAAATCTACAATCTCCAAATGCCCAATTCAAAAATTTTATATAGAACACTCACAAATATAAATAAAACATAAATCATAGCATCAAAACTTATAAAACACTGGAAAATTGGAATATAAACACAAATCATTTGACCAAAAACTCCAAATCATGGCAAAACATATAAATTAAATATATAATGGCTCTATTATGATGATGTAGAAAACCGAGAAGTATGAGATGTGAAGGCTGAAGAGCTATCTAGAAGTGAAGGCCCACTAGATATAGGTACGGAGATTCAAAAATTATCAAGAACATGACGAAAGTAAGTGATTCACCAACCTGAAGAACTAGGCTAATCCATTCTAATGGAGCCTATTGTTCTCTCGTTTCTATTACTTGGAGAAGAAGAAGGTGGTTACAATTCTTTATGAAAAATATCCAATTGTCCTTCTCACTAGGGGCCAGGTTTGGTTTATATACCCTTAGCCTATAGTGGTTCCCCATCATCATGCAGTGGTCCCCTGTTTGTTAGGATTGAATGAGGGAATATTTGGCAGTTAAAGTTTATTTTCCCTATGTATGATGTAGCCTTCTAGAAACTAATGACTTGGCATTGGTGATTCTTTTTTGATAAATGAACCTAAATAATCCACCTTCAAGATCGCTAGGCTCTCTAGAATGCATTTTGGGTCATTTTCTTCATTGGGCAAACCCGGCCTTGGCTTGGAGTTACCCTTTTCTGATGGTTGGGATTGGGTTCAACCATGGGTCATTTTTATCTGGCTAACCTGGCAAGCCCAACTTCATTTGGGTTGGATTACCTCAAACCAACAGATATATCAATTGTCCCTAGGCCCAAATTATTGATTGTCTAAACTAGCACCTACTTGGGAGGAGGTTTCTCGAGGGTATTGGTTATGTTCCTGACCCCTATCACGTCATTTCAGAGTGGGGAGCTGCCTTTTTGCCTATATGATGCCTCAAAAATTGGAATTGTTTAATCTAATGTCTCAGGTTATCTCTGTACAAGTAGCATTAATGGAGTCCTCGTCATGGTATGTAATTATTGCTTCTTCCCATTCATATCCCGCCTTTTTGGCTTCCTATAATGTCTCTTTTCTTCTTTAAAGAGGCATTGATGACTGAGGCCCTGTGTTCCTATTGGTTACTTTTTGCCACTTATTTCTCTAGTAGTTCTTTTTTGGCATTTTTCTCCCTCGGTCTCGTGTTCATTTCATTGGACCATCTTTTAGGCACGTATTTCTTCTCTTCCTCATCCTAGATCCCTTAACCCCAGGTGGTGGTCGATGAGCTTTCATTTTTCCCTTATGAGGGCTTTCTATTTTAGGCTACAAAATAGGTCTCCAAAATCGCTTTCCTTTTTCGTCGACCAGTTAGCTACTCAGAGGCTAAGGTCCCTTCTTGATTTGAGGCTTAACCTTAGGGCTGGAGACTACTCTTCCCATCTTCCACATTTGTATGTTAGGTTAAAGTGTTTTGCTCCAATGTCTCGGATAACTGAGTTGACCACATCTAAGCCCTCTACTAGTTCTTCTTCAATGGCCTCCCTTTTTGGGGATGGCTCTGTCTATGGAAGGTAGGCCTTTTGGTTTCAGGATCATATACGCCTCCCCCAAAATATTGACTACCCAATTATCAGATGCCCTCAAAGACCAGAAGAGGGCTCTCAAAGCTACTCCCAAAAAAGGTATAAAGAAACTTTAAACCAAGAGGCCCAGCAACCCCTTGCCCTTGTAGTCATTGTACTTCAAATCATAGGGGCTCCTAGAAAAAAAGGTAAAAATGTTCCCCATGATCTGGATGATCTGATCTACTATTCAGCCAACCTCCCTAGTAACATTACTGAGCCTTAAATCAGGTCTTTAAAGAATAAATGTGGTTTTCCTGAAGGAGTGCAGATGCATGCGCTGACTGGCGATGAACGATGTATGGATTCCTTCCCTAATAAGGTGTGTTTTTTCAAAATAGCCTTTGAGGCCGGCCATAGATTCCCTTTGAAAGACTTTATAAGGTATGTGCTCCAAATTTTTAGCTTGGCCCCTATTCGACTGTCCCCTAATGGATGGAATATATTAATTAGCATGTTCATATATTTTAAGAAAAGAGTGGGATCAAGTTTGAGCCTTATGTTTTTGAATTCGTCAAGCTCTTCTAGGTGAAACCCTATCCTACCAAAGGTTTAGTAGTCCCCTTCTGGTCATAGAACTCCTATCTTCTCATAAGAACTAGAAAAACAAATTTTTCTTTGTTTCTGAATCTGTGTGGGAATTTGATGGATATATTGACCAAGCATTTTAGGTTCTTAGGCAATGGGCTCCCCCTATTAATTCTAGTAAGTGTTTAATGGTGGGTTTTTTTGATGTGAATGACTTGTCGACCTTTTCTTACTATTTGTTGATCTTTCTTTGTAGAGTACATGCCTCTACTATTGAACATTGACAGAGAAAACATCTTGAAGGCCAAGCAATTTGGTTCTAGGCTTGTCCAAGCTGTCACCAAGTATTAGACCAGCTCCCTTCTTGAAGTTGAACTCATCTCTCTTGGTGAGTGATCTTTTGCTTTATTTTTTCATTCCTCTTGTTTGTTGTCTCTTCCCCCCTTTTTTATATGACCCTCTAGTTCATTATGCAAATCTTGAAGAGATGTCTCCCAAAAAAGACACCCTGAAGAAACTGCTAGAAGCCTGGAAGGAGGGTGATAAGGAGGTCCCCCTTGCAAACTCCAATGCATAAGACGAGGAAAAGGTCACAAGTGGATGAGTAGGATACTAAAGGATCCGAACTCCTTGAGAAGGAAAAAGCCTTTGACCCCCAAAAAACTGATGATTCCCTACCTGTTGACCTGACTAAGGACCTTAATGTTCTTGAGGTGCATTTCGAGGAAACCCCAAAATCCCCTTGCTCAACAAAAGCTAAAGTCATCTTTGACTATTTCTCAATCTGACTTCAATGATGTTTCTCAAGGCAAGGTTGGCAACACTGTAAAAGGAAGTACCAAGGAGTTGCTGAGGTAAATGTCTATTTCTTTGTTCTTTTCCCTCTTTATATTTGGTTCTTTTTTGACTCTCATGACTTTGTTCTTCCTTTCTTAGGTGGCCACATGCTTGAGCTCCCTAGCCCTAACACTTCATGTACTTAAGAAGCAACAGGATGACATGGATGCTAAGGTGAGGTCGGCAAATGAGATTGTGAATAGGTTGAAAATTCAATTGAACATTGTCGAGGCCTCTGAGTTGACCCTGAAAAATCAAATCAAGGAGATCAAGTCTGATCTGGCTATTGCCTTAAAGTCAGTTAATAAGGTTAGAGATAAGCAAGTCAAAGAACAACTCGAAGAGGCCACCAAGAAATGATCTAATTTATCTTCACAACTCCTTATGAATGCAGACCAAGTGGTTAAAAAGTTAAAAAATTCTTCAGAGTACAAGGAAGAAATCGAAGAGAGCTACTTGGATGGATATCTTGACTTTAAAGCCCAAGCTAAGAAACAACATCCTAAAAAATATTATCCTGACCCAGATTTCGATGCCTTTGAACCTCCTTCTGATGACGGGGATGGGAGCAAGAAGGAAAAGAATGATCTTTCCATAGTTGTTGGAACATGTGATTTAGTAGCGAAAAAGGCCGAGACTACGAATGAGGCAAAGAAGAGTGTCAACCATACTGCAGGCATACCATATATTTATGAGGATTGAGGAATATAGCTACTGGGTGGAGATGCCCAGTTATCTAAGAAGGCTGCATGAATCTTTGTTGTACTATTTTCCTTTTTTGAGCAATGTACAACTTTCAATTTTTTGAAGTTTTTGAATTTCTAAACTTTAATGAACTTCAACCTTCTATTCTTAGAATCTTGTAGCTTTCTGCTTGGAACTATATTTTAGGCTCCTATATTGCTCCCCCTTCAATTTTGCAAGGTCTTGGTCTTGGAGAAATGAGGATCTTAACCTCCCCTTTGCCCCCTTTTTCCTTTTTCTTAAATATGCAAGTTCTTCTATAGTATTTGGTTGTTCAGTCTTTGCTAGATTGAGATCCTAAGGTTGAAGAGATGATAAGCTCGTAAGGCTAATAAGCCTCTTATGTGGAAGAGCTACAGAGCTCTTTAAGGCTGATGATCCTTCTTATGTGGAAGAGCTGCAAAACTCTTCAAGGTTGATGATCCTTCTAATGTGGAAGAGCTAAAGAGCTCTTTAAGGCTAATGAGCCCTCTAATTTGGAAGAGTTGAAGGGCTCTCAGCCTTCTTGTATGGAAGAGCTGGAGAGCTCTTCAAGGCTGATGAATCTTTTGCTAAAAGATGAGCTGATAAGCTCTTTAGGCTAGAGTTAATTGTATAGCCTTCTATAGAATAGAGAAAACCACAAAAGCAAAATAGAATTTCCTAAAAGATTAGAATCTGACCTAGTCAGGTTGCTGGTAAAACTTTATAAGGTGCTCAATGTTCCAAGAATTGGCTAGAGTGTACCCTTCCTCCATTTGTAGCTCATAATTTCCAAGTTTGATTACCCTCTTTACCACGAATGGGCCCTCCCAATTGGGCATTATCTTTCCATGCCCTGGAGCTTTCCTTACTAGCGACAATTTCCTCATAAGTAAGTTTCCCACCTTAAAGCTTCTATTTCGCACTCTTTGATTGTAGTATCGAGTTGTTCGCCATTGATAGGATGAGATCATTAGTAACATTTCATTCCTCTTTTCATCGAGGAGATCCAAATTCAGTAGTAGAGATTTGTCATTCTACTCAGGGTTAAACAATTTTTCCCTTGGGGTTGGAAGCCTGATCTCCATCGGTGCTACAACTTCAGTTCCAAAGGCCAAGCAAAAAAGGGATCTATTTAGTGGCAGTCAGAGCTATTGTTCTATAAGCCCATAACACATTTGGGAGGTAGTCTGCCCATTTATTTTTTTACGCTTCTAACCTTTTTTTAGTGCTTTAATAGCAGTTAGAATGGTTACCTCAGCTTGACCATTTGACTATGGATGAGCTGGAGCTGAGAAGTAGTTTTTTATCTTAAGCTTAGTATAAAACCCTTTGAAGCCCAAGTTATCAAATTGTTTTCCATTATCCAACAATATGGCTCTTAGGATCCCAAAATGACATATGATGGATATTCAAATGAATTTCTTCATCATTTGTTTAGTAATGGTTGCGAGAGGTTCTTTTTCTGCTCATTTGATGAAGTAATCAATGCCCACCATGGCGAACTTGGATTAGGTCCCACGATGTCAATACCCTACTACTAAATAGGTTAGGGCTTAGAATTGGCGTAAGCTATTCTGGAGGATATCGAGGTATATTGGAATATATTTTGTAGGTTTTGCATTTTCTAACCATATCGATTGAGTCTTTCATCATAGTGGGCCAAAAATACCCTTGCCTTCGCACCTTGTATGCCAAAGCTTGTGCTCCTATGTGATTCCAATAGATTCCTTTGTGGATTTCTCTTAGCACATAGTCAAACTCTTCTGACGATACGCATTTCAATAGAGGCCATAAGTAACCTTTTTTGTAGAGCTTTTCCTAGATTATCGTGAAGTAGGATGACTTATTTCTCAGCTTAGATGCTTCTTTTGGGTCCCTTGGAAGCGTTCAATCCCGGAGATAGTTAAATGTAAGTGTAAGGGGTAGAAATCGTTACGGATCTCATCCCTCCACTTGAAGGATTTCGGCTGACCTGGCGACACCGAGCCCTAGTAGCCTTTACCTCTCTTCGCCAATAGGACTCTTTCCTAAGGCAATCCCACATCGGAAGAGAGTTGTCTTCCCCCTGCCATATAAGTGAACACTTCCTATGGAGGAGGTACAGGTGCCTAGTGGGTACCTCCTCCATAGGAAATGTTCACTTATATGGCAGGGGGGAAGACGACTCTCTTTCGATGTAGGATTGCCTTAGGAAAGGGTCTTATTAGCGAAAAGAGGTAAAGGCTATTGGGGCTCAGTGCCGCCAGGTCAGCCGGAATCTTTCAAGTGGAGGGATGAGATCCGTAGCGATTTCTACCCCTTACAGTAAGGTTCACACAGCTCGAGTTTATGCCTATTGACATGACCTCTTCATCCATCTGGCTTAGATCAATACTAGGTTCCTTGAGGTGCTATACTAGGATAATTCTATCGAGATTTCCCTATTTCACTGTGGCTAATTTGTCTAATGAGCTAGCCCTACCATTTTTTGATCTCGACACTTGGACAATTTATTTGTGAAGAAATTTTCCCAATAACTAGTTGACAACCCTCAAATGTGCTTCCATCCCTCCTCCATTTATCCGTACATAGATTTGACCTGCCTCACAATGAGTTGGGAGTCAATGTGGTTCAGTAACTAACAGGCTTCCATGGAATAAGCTAACTTGAGCCTATAAATTAGTGCTTCATACTTTTCCTCATTATTGGAGACCTTGAAATCAAATCTTAATGCCTATTCATGGTCAATATCCTTTAGGGAAGTTAGGATGAGCCTTGATGTCCTTTAATAGTTGTCATAGGCTTGAACTTGATGTTGAATTCTCCCAGCTCTATCACCTATTTCACCAACCTTCTCGAGGATTTGGGCTTATGAAGGGCTGACCTCATTGGCTGGTCTATTGGCACCTTGATCATATGAACCTTGAAATATGGTCTGAGCCTTCGGGCTACCATGACTAAGAGTCTGACATAGCCAGATACAAGGTGAGGATCTCCCCTTTTTTTAGGTTAACCAAGATCGGAGGTGTGCCTAAGTAGGTTTTCAGGCGGTGGAATGCCTCCTCACACAGGTCATTCCATTGGAAGGCAGTCTTAAGAGTTTTGAAGAAAGGTTTGCATTTTTTGCTTACTTAGGAGACAAATTTGTTAAGGGTAGCTATTTTCCTCATCAGTCGCTAAACCTCCTTTGTGGTTGATGGTGACTTCAATTTTAAAAAAAATATTTGATTTTCTCAAGATTCACTTCAATTCCCCTTTAGTTAACTATGTAGCCCAAGAACTTCCTGGCTGAGACCCTGAAGGCTCATTTTTTTGGATTTAGCTTTATCCTATACTGCCTCGAGACTTGAAAAGACTCCCTGAGGTGACCGATGTGAAGTTTGGCTTTCACATATTTGACCATTATATTGTCAATATATACCTCCATGGTGGTGCCGAGATGATTGACAAACACCTTATTTACGAGTTGTTTGTAAGTGGCCCCAGCGTTTTTAACCTAAAGGGCCTTCTCCTGATCAGCAAGAAGCTCATGTCCTAAGATAGAATAAATGATAAGGTCGATCCATGAAAGGGGAAACTATCCTTAGGACAAGGTCGATTGAGATTTGCAAAGTCTATGCACATTCGCCATTTTTCATTTGTATTCTTGACCAGGACCATATTGGCTAACTAGACCAGATAGTCAACTTCCCTAATGGCCTTAGCTTTCAAAAGCTTGGCTACTACTTCTACGTTGATGGCTTGTGCCTTTTCGATGCCAAACTCTGCCTCTTCTGTTTGATGGGTTTGAAGTTGGGGTCCATGCTAAGTCTATGAAGAATCTCCTTCGATTCTATTCCTTCCATGTCTTCTTACCTCCAAGTGAAGACGTCTGCATTTTTTTTCAAGAAAATGATGAGTTTTTCCTTTATCTCCTCCATAATCTTGGAGCCAATGAAGACCACATGACTAGGGTTTTTACCCACCTGCACGGCCTCCAACTTTTTCGATGGTGTTGGCCCAGTATCCAACTCATCCCTCATGTCCAGATCATCCATCTGCACTGTGTCTACTTTTTTTTACATCATCGAGGACATATAGTATTCTCTTTTTGTTCTTTGTTCTCCCCGCACTACATCAATCCCATTCTTGGTGGGGGAACTTCATAACCAGATGATAGGCAAAAGGGATGGCCTTGATGGCATCGGGGGAAGGCCTCCCAGAATTACACTATAAGCTGAAGGAGTATCCACGACCAGGAACTTAGCCATAGTAGCCGTCTAACAAGGTGGTTCTCCAAGGATCAGAATGAGCTGCACCCCACAAGATGGATTTTGGCTGGCAACAGTTGTCCTCGACTGATTTCGAACTAATCGAAGGCATTCAAGAAAATGATATCGGCCGAGCTATCATTGTGTACCAGCATATGATGAGACATTCTTATTGGCAATGATGGATTTGACGACCAAGGGATCATTATGAGGGAGCTGGCAGCCTTCTAGGTCGGCATCTAAGAAAGTTATCTCCACTTTAGATCACAGTTCCTTTTATACTACTTGGACCTTGAAAAAGTCTTCTGATCAGGTTTTTCGCACGTGGGCTTTCCTGGCAGAGCTAGATTCACCTCCGCCAACAAAACCCCCTAATAAGATATGTGTCTCTTTGATTGGCTATTGGTGCTACAACTACTGCTTTTCCTGAGGTGGGTTCTAGGGATTTGCAGCCCGATGGTCATCTTGAGCCAAAAATCTCCCAAGATAGCCCTTCTAGATGAAGAACTTGATCTCTCTCTTTAACTAAAAAAAAGTAGTTAATGTAATGGTCGTGATCCTTATGGAAAGGGCAGTATTTGTTCAAGTCTCTCTTGCTCTGGTCAGATCTCATTTTCGAGGGCCATTTCACATACTTCTCATTCTAAACCTGATGCAGAATTTGAACAACAAGTGCATTCAAGGGTGTTTATTTTTGTGGGGCCAACTTCATTTGGAAGTCGGGTTTGGGGTCCCAAACGATCTTTGACATTTGTTTTTCTTTTGGGAGATCGATCACAGTCCTTCATGGGATTGAAGTCCTTTCTTTTCTTGTCTTTTTGCTGGCTTACTATGGATGAAGACCTATGTCTTGCTTGGAAGACCTCCTCCCCATTGATATTTTTTTTTTACCTTTGCCAACATCTCGGCCATGTTGGCATGAGGATTTTTAGAGATAAAGAAAAGGAAATTTGATGGCTGAAGCTCCAGGTTAGCAACAAAGATAGTCAATGTAACCTTGTCAACAAGGTCGTCTACCTACAGAGATGCTAAGTTAAACCATTGTACATAACTCCTTGAACTTTTGTTTGATGCTAAAAGGTAGGAGGTCAATTTGAGGTGGGTCATTGTGCTGATAAAGTGTGAAACGAACTACACCTACAATTATTTGAAGGAAGGAATGAAGGATGGGATCAGTTTGTTGAACCAGGCTAATGTCAAACCTTGGAGGGTGATGGCAAAGGCTCAACATCAAATAGGGTCTTGATATTCATGTAACTCCATTTCATTTTTATAAGTATTGAGAAGGTTGAAGGATCTGTGGTACCATCAAATGAGTCAATCTAAGGCATTTTGAATTTTAGTGGAAGAGAAAAATGCAAAACCTCTTATGTGAACGGAGATTTGGTTTGCTGGACCAAGGCTTCCATGGTAACTAGAACTCAGTTCTTTACAACCTCCTTCATGTTTTTCAATTCGTTTTGGATTTCTAAGAAGCGTTTCTCCCATAATTGATCCATGGCATTACGCTATGGAGGAAGTTGTCGATTTCCTGCCCTTTGTCCCTCAACTCTACTGCGCGTCTCGTTTCTAGATTCTTCTCTCAGCAATTGACATTTGATGTTTTCACTAGAATGGCTATGGTGGTTTGCCTCTGTTACACCGTTTAGCATATGTGGAGTAAATGGCAGATCCTGATGGACTCTTGGTTATTGAGGGTAAGAAGGGATATGATGGTTTGATTTTCTTCAAGGAAACGGAGCATATTTTGTTGGTAATTCTCCGATCCCTCCCTGCATGGGGAGAAGAGTCTGCCGAAGGAGCTGGTGGTAGGGGATTTCGTTACTGGTTGTCTAGGTTCTGATTCATGCCTCTAGTTATGGCTATCAATCAAAAGAAGTGAAAGAAACTTTAAAGGAAAACGACGAAAATAGTTTCCCACAAATGAAGCCAAACTAATAACGTAAAATAGAGGTATGAGGATAACTTTATTACAGGGGAAAATGAAGATAGCTGGATGTGATGGTGAATATGCGTGTGATGATCAAACAAGTGTGAAAGGCTGAAAAGCTCCTCTCGATTGCTGATAATTGAAAATGGAAGAATAATAATCATAATGTGGATTATAGTGGTTCACTAGGCTGAAGAACTTGGCTAGTCCACTGTTAATAGAGTGTCTTGCTCTTTTGGTTTATATTTCTTAAGGAAGAAGATTGTTACACTCAAATTGCTTCAAATCATATAGGATATCCCTTTCAAAATATACACAACTATCTTTTGTCCTTATCCAAGATTGTGTGGTCCCCTCAGTTTGTTAGGATCATGGGAAATATTTTGTCTGTAGAAAATTTCAGACACTCTTCCACGTGTCCTTCTAGAAGTGATGAGGTTTCATCTTGGGATACCAAGCTTCAAAGGTCATCCATTGAAGTAACTGGTCAATGTTTGGCAGTCCGGGAGACATTTCCCTCTAGAAAAGCTATTGAAAGTGCGGAGGTCAGCTCAAGTGGAGTTTATAGCTGAGCTGCATTGGAAGACACCAAGCTTTGATTACACCAAGAGAGAAATGGTGTTGTTTGTTGGCCATTTTGAATCTAGACCCTGTGGTCAAGTTGTTTGAGTTTGGGCTATGATGATCAAAGAATTATCAATTGATCATGGTATTGTCGGCTAGAATATTTAAACTTGGGGGGAGAAGAGGAACAACGATATAGAGAATGGTCCTCCACTCACTATCTCCTTCTCATCCATTCACCCAATTAAAATCAAAGAAATCAAACCCAAAAAACCCACAACATCGAGGAGAGAGAGAGTGGATGTGTGTTGCAGCCAAACAAAAGCCTTTATTATTGATATTATTTTTTGCTTTTTTATGTCTTTATGACAAAATTTGATGAAAGTTAAAAAAAAATTTGGGAGGGGGTGGGGAGGAATAAATTTATTAATTTTCTCCCATTTTACGGGCCTTGATTGTAGGCAGATTTTTTTAGATTTGCACTAATTCATAAGTATAAGGAGTCAAATGTAAAACTTAATAGTTAAGGGAGTCATGTGAAATTAACCCTAATTTCAAGGAGTTCTATAAAAATCCCACAACAAGAAAAACAGTGTTTGATGACAAGATTAGGCTACTCGGGAGATAAGGTTATCTAATTGATCAAGGGGGACAAAAAAATGAACTCCATTGGTGGCCTTCCCAACATTGTTTGATAAGGATTATCACCAACATTTCAAAAATTATAAGTGTACCCCCTACAATTTGCCTAAACATAATGTGGGTGAGCATAATTTTCTTAAATATTGTTCTTCATCAATATTGCATGTGGCTTACCATTTGCCATTTTTATTTACTATTGTTTAGTTGTATGAATAATGGTTTAGTTAAAAGAAGACTACAACACCGATAGAAATAACGCGTTGAAAGTTACAACGTTTTTAAGGTTAAATTATACTTTTTTTAGATATAAGTTTTAGAATAATATTATTGGGATCTAATTTACTACATAATTTATTGATCTAATTTACTTTAATCTTTGAATTTATTGTAGACCCAATCAAATATTAGAATTTGGTGTTAATCCAATAATTTCTATGAAATTACATCATTATATCAAAAAATTATGTCAGATTTTTAAGTCTAAATAATATTACTCTAACTTTTAACTCTAATTATTTATAATTGATTATAAAAATTATAATTTTTAAAAATAAAGTAACAATGTGATTAAGTTATAATACAAAAAAAAGTTACAATTAAGTAAAATAATCTTTGACCGATCGCAAGATCTCATAATTAATAATGACCTTATTTCCAACCGTTATAACTCTACTTTAAAAAATAATAATTTAACCTTAAAAAATTATAATTTTTAATCCCTACCTCTTTCCCGTTAGTTATTATCGGTAAGTACATTAAGCTTTCCCCGCTAAAATTGATATATTATTTATTTTGTGGCGCACCAAAAGGCACTTGTGTATTTTCATGGCTCACATTATCCTCATCCAAATATATCCAACCAATGTAGACCAAAGAAATCCAAACCCCTCAAAAAATATGAACCAATCGAGAAACACAGAAAGATTTAGAAAAAAAAAAAAACATGTTTGATGCCTGAATTCATCTCTCTCATATCCTACCACATCTGATCTGTTGTTCTCTCTCTGTCATGGAAACCATTCTCTCTCCTCACTCTTTCTGTCCTCTCTTCAATCCCAAAACTTCATCTTCAAGGGCCCTTCTCTCTCCTTCCCTCCAACCCAGATCAAATTCACTTCCTCTGACCAAACCCATTTGTTCTACCCAAAATCAGAAACAAGTTTTTTCAACACCCACTAGTTGGGTTTCTCATGTCCACCATGGATTAGCAGCTCTAGCCATCTCTCTGGCACTTAACTTTTGCCCATTATTGCCTAGTGGTTCTGCGCTAGCATCTGAATTCGATGTACTAAACGGTGGTCCACCTCAAGAATCGTATGTGGTTGATGATGCGGGTGTGCTCAGTAGAGTGACAAAGTCTGATTTGAAGCGGTTGTTAAGAGATTTGGAGTCAAGAAAGAACTTCCACATAGATTTCATCACTGTTCGCAAGCTTACTGTATGCTCATTCTATTCCAAGTGTTTGTCATAATGTTAAAGTATTTGCTCAATACAAAACTGAACATTTTTGTGTTAGTAATTGTAATCTGTGATTGGAGGTTACATGTTATAGTAATTTAAATGCATTGTACAATCAAATACTTTATTAGTTCTTTGGACGATGCCCTTGTGATGTAATAGAAAATGCAGTTGGTTTGTTTTTAAGGCACAGATTGATAATGTTTTTTAACAATCTTTCTAATCTTTTACTTTTTTGAATGGATTCTAATCAGTACAAGTTTTTTTTTTTTTCAAACAAATTCTTTTACTTATTCTAATCAGTTAAAAATAACAGTTACAAAGGAAGCATGTCGTTTAAAACGAAAATAAAAGACCTGAAAACATTCATTTCAATACATAATGAATACAGTTATATTTGTTTATGTTAAAGGTGCAGTTATATTTTGGAAAATAGAGCAAATCCGGACAAAAATAGAGGCAAAAATTACCCGCTTTAAGAAAAAAAGTTCTTGTCTGTGCACAAAGAAAGTGCTAGTTTTTTTGCTCTTTTGCTTAAAAATGGAAAATTGCAAAAATATTGTTGACAAACGGTGCCTAAACCATAACAACTCAATGACAATGTTGGACGTTCAGAAATTTTATCTAAAAGGTAAGGAGAAGCTTGGGAACTTCTCTATAACTACTGGAGTTGAGAAATGCAATTATGCAAATTTATGGTGTTCACAGGGAATGTGAAAGTTTTTTATGTTCTTTATTGTAGAGCAAAGCAGATGCTTTTGAGTATGCCGATCAAGTTTTGGAGCGATGGTATCCCACAGTTGAAGAAGGCAGCAATAAGGGCATAGTTGTGCTTGTTACCAGTCAAAAAGAAGGGGCAGTCACAGGTGGACCCGCATTTGTCAAGGCTGTTGGTGATAGTATTCTTGATGCCACCGTATCAGAAAACCTTCCTGGTAACTGGATACTTCTTTTTTCCCTCCTTCCAGTTGCCGTCATTTTTCATCTGCGCCAATTCAGAACTTGCCTTTGAAGGGAAATTTTCTGTCAACTAAGTTGTGATTTTGACTGCCTGAAAGCAATGATGGTTTTTTTTTTCCTGCTAATATAATATTTGGAATGAAATGAAAAGCAAGAGAGCAGAGAATATACCAAGGAATAGCATCAAACAATGCATGGAACTTGCATTAACCATCGTCGATGGACAAACCTGATATAGAGTCCACTGTGATAGTTGTAGCATACATAATCTTTTGGCTTTGCAAGTCATGATCTTTATTGGCTACAGAAAGTATAACCCTTCTATTTCTTAAATCATAGTTATAAAGTTTCTATATGTATATAATGTGGCCGTTACATCAACAACTACCCAAAAAATCAGGGATTGGAAAAAAAAAAACAACTCAACTAAGAAGAACAAAACAAAAGACTAATTAAGAGGACCGAAAAAAAGACAACCCAACTGAGAAAAACAAAACAAAAGACTGACCAAAATGCACAAAACAAAATCAGGAAAAAATTTCTATCCTGCATGGTTTTTGTAACACATATGCTCTGAACACTATAGATAAATCATTTGTTTGTGTTGAACCCAGATCTTGCTTGTCATGCCAACTAAAAAGTTGAAACCTGTTATTTTCTTTGGCTATCCATATGCTTTGGAACATCGCGAGTGTCAAAGCTAGGGCCCTTTAGAGCGGCAATCTATGCAAAATGGACTCTGCAACAACTTTGTAGAAAATAATGAAATAAATTAAATCAAGGAACTTATATCAACATATGTTCTTCAGATAAGCCTATATATTTTACCAAATCAATAGCCATATCTATACTCTGAAGATGCTAGGAGGAAAGTCATCAGGGAAGCAGAGGTCAAATTTTGAGAGATTGTCCAGGTGAAGGCCTTTTTCCTTTTTGTGTTTTAGAAATTGATGATTGCATTTCATTTTAGCATCATTTCTAACCCGTCTGATGCATCTGGTTAAGAGTAATTATTGGGTCCTGAGCCTTTGTTTATCCTTTGCAACCCATTGGGGAGATACTCTTATTTAAACTGGCTTGAGACCCCTAGTTTATGCTACGCCAGTGTTTGAAGCCTTCAGCTATTTTTGTCTTATTAACTGCATGACATTACCTAAAGCTTAAGAAATTAATCGGAAGTTTTAAATATCAATCCCATTTAACTGAGTTTGCAGAAAGCTATATCAAACCAATTGTTGGATTTTGCTAACTCAGTGCATGAACAAATTCTGAAAACCAATATTATCCATAATAAGGTGCCCATTTCTACTGTGGGTTGAAAAGAAAAGGATCCATAAATTTACATTATATATCTGTTTCTTGGGTTTGACTACGTTACCCCAAAAAAAAATTTTGGTTCCGTTACCGCTTACCAATTTTTAGGTTATTTATATCACCTTTTGGGTGAAGCTTACCAACTTTTGGGATACTCTCACAATATGGATTCACTTGCCATTTTTTTGGGTTTGCTTACCACTTTTTTGGTTAGAGTTTGTCACTTTTTATGATAGAACTTGCTACTTTTTGGGGCATTTTTTTTTCCAGTAAGGCAACAATTTTTTTGTTTTGGTATCGTAGTGTTTCCTCTGTCTCTTTGTCCAATGTTACATATTTACAAAAGAAAGAAAGAACTGTATATTTAAATTATGGTCTCGATTGTGAAAAATTAGCATTCAAATTCTAAGGGGACATCTTGGTACCAAGTTGCGGGATAACATAATGGACACAATTAGACTACCTTGAACTTAGCTACTCTATTAGGAGTATTTCTTTTGAGTTTGTTTAAAGGAATTCGTCTGTTGAAGAGACTTGATATGTCACTATTTGGATGGACAAGTGCTCACCATGCATATGGTTGCTGTTACTGTTTGCCAGTTTGAATAATTATTTTTTGAGATGCCGACAAAATTAGACAATCTCCAGAAGCAAAGCTTTAGATTATTTCCTCAATCATGTGCACCCTTAAAATTTTGTTTAAGGATGTTGCAATAGTGGATTATCCAATTATTTGGTTTCAAATTGGCAGTCTTGGCTACAGAGGAAAAGTACAATGAAGCAGTTTTTAGCAGTGCTAAAAGGCTAGTTGCTGCCATTGATGAGCTTCCTGATCCTGGTGGGCCTCTGTTAAAGGACAACAAACGGGAATCCAACTTCAAAACCAGGGAGGAGACGGAAGAGAAACGAGGACAGTTTACCCTTGTGGTTGGAGGTCTTTTAGTGATAGCTTTCGTTGTTCCTATGGCGCAATACTATGCGTATGTCTCTAGGAAGTGAGTTACAACCATATTTTTTAAAGTTTCAGGATTATTTTTCTTGAACTGTAAGTAAGGTGCATAAACTGTTCTAATACATGGTCATGTGGAACAATTGGTCCACAAAAAACAAGCAAGTAGAGGATAAATATCGAATTTTTTATGTATGTAGCCCGTGTGAGCGTATCCCTTAATCTCTTATGATCTCTCTTCACTTTAACCATTTAATGATTAACTTGTATTATAGCCACATAACATATGTTGAGTGGTGGTTTGAACAGCAAACTCTTTCAGCAAGCTGTGGTTGATGTTTGCGTTTCTAGCTTCCAGTCACATAAAATGATAAAATACCATTCGTCAGGAATCAAATTAATTTCTGTCAGTATAAATTCACGGAGTGTGAAAGAATGAAATAATGATAAGCATATTTGTTTCTTTAGAATTTGAGCTTGAGAAGGAAAGGCATCTTGTCTGCAAAGGGTGGGTCGGAATATTTCCCAGTGAGTATTTGTGATGATACATACTGATTTGCAGCCTCTGTGTAATGTATTCCATCCCAATTTATGTATTCAGTACTGTCATTGCACCCGTTGGCCGTCACAGAGCTCCCATTCAGAACTTTAGTTAGACCACAGGCTACCCGACTGTCATAGTTCAGTGGTGGACCTCCATAACCACAGCAAGCCATTAGGGGTTGTTCAAATCCTGCAAATTCGTATGTAGAGAAAAATCAGATTTTTCTTCTATTTTAGTTTGAACTTTACAAATGATCAGCAGAATACTAATACATACTAACCATATCGAGAATAGTTTGCAATGAGATTAGATTTTATTGTGAAGATATCCACATGTGTGACATTTGCATCGGAATATTGGCCTTGTAGCTTCTTACAGAGTGCATGAAGCTGTAGGTTTAGAAGTCTGGAAGCTTGGTTATGTGAGCTGACACATCCTAGCTCATCAAGCTTTGATGGATCAGTTCCGAATTTGGCTATATTCTGAGCCAAGCAACCGAGGGGACCCGTGTTATGAATCCAAAAATTTCTTCCCCCTTGATCATATAATTTCTGTCAGAGAAAACAAGTTGAGACTTAGGTCAAAGATCTGAAACAGAGATGCATTGTTGTGTGATGTGTATAACTTAACCGTACCTTAATTCCATTTTCAAATTCTGTCAAAATTGTTGGAATGGAAGCAAGAACTTGATCCAATGTTTTGGAATAAAAGGCACCAGCAAGATCATTCTGGCCTATATCAAACATGTAAAGCCCCTTGGCAAAATAATCTTCAGATGGAAGGTATTTATCAAATTTCTTTGCTGCAATGAAATCAGGAACACACAGTGAAACTTTGTTAGCAAATGTAACTTTTTTTTTAGTTAGGGTTAATTACAAATGACCCCCCTTCAAGTTTGGGTCATATACCAATCAGCCCCCTCTGGTTTTAATTTCAACAAATTACCCCTAAAGTTCAAATATTTCTCAAACGAGGCAGTGGGTAGATATGAGGCAGTGATTTTCTTCGGGGCGAGGCGAAATATATATATATATATATTGAGGGAGTTAATTGGCTGGAAAGTTGGTCTCTACCCAGGAAAAAAAGAAGGGTTTTTGCTGGAGGGGAAGAGGAAATTGGTCCAGCACCATGGTGAGGAGAAGAGGATGGTTTGGTAGAGCGAGTGGAGAGGGGAATAAAAAAACTTAGTAAGGATGATTTTGTCTTTTCCATGAATTTAAGATCACATGGCTTGCATGTGATTATATGCCGGTGGAAAATAAACGGGTTGGGTTAAATGAAAAATGTTAAAATTTCGAGGGATAATTTATTGAAATTAAAACTAGAGAGAATTTATTGAAACGTGACCCAAATTTGAAGGGAGTAATTTGTAATTGACCATTTTTTATTATACTTGTATTTTTTTTTTTTTATCAGATCTCAAAAATCTTATAATGTTAAGAGGTCCCAACATACATTTAGCTTTCAGTTCGAGAACTCGAGCCTTGAATCTGAGAAATTGAGCCACTTGAATACCGAATGAAAATGGGCTAACAGAAGATGCAGTTGCTGGAAGTATAGTAGACCCTGCAGCTGCAAAATTGCATCCTTTTTTAAAACTTGGGGCTCCAATTGCTTCCAGATAGGCATTTAGAAAGGGCATGTCCATTGCATCCACTGCAACACACACAAAAAGTGTAAGGAAACAAGAAAAAGGTGAATTTAATACACAAGCCTCTGTGATCAATTATTTGTGTTTGGAGCCGATGGGAAGGTCGAGAAATGGCTGGAAAGCCAAAGTGATGAGCAAGCCGGTATTAGAATGCTCAGAGAGAATTGAAAGACAGAAGGTAGCAAGAACAGTGTCAAAGACGCGATTAGATCATGTGGAGTTTGATGCGGTGAAGAACGAGAGTTTTTTGTGAATAACACTGGGGTATCAAAGGTGACAAAATCATGGGCCAAACGATCTTTGAATGGTCTGTGGGTGTGAGATTCACCATAGCCAGACAACTTGGTGTCAATGTTAAAAACAGAGCAAACAGGGGAAATGTACAACTCAAATAAACAGAACTGATAAGAAAAATAGCAGAATGCGGCTACCTCAAGTACATCTTTTGTAATGATGAGACAAATTTCGTTAATGGTGAGGAAATCTTACGGAGAAAATCAATGATCAGACGGCCATCGCAGAACCTCCCAGACGGCTTTTGGAAGTAAATTTGTCCGTTAGGCGGGTCAAGGCGTTCGGCAAGTCCAGCGACGAGCCCACCTGTGTCGGAATTGGAATCGCCAAAGTTGAAAACTGCAGGGTAATTGAAATCAATGGAATTGGCATGAGTCAAGCAGATTAGAAAGGTGAGAATCTGAAGGACAGAGAAGGAGTTAGGAGCCATGTCTTGTGGGAACACAGCCTTGTGGCTACCAGTTGTTATGGACCAAGTAACTACCTACAAAACTCCATCCTCTCATTATAAAGAAGTCTGGTGGGTTTTGTCAATAAGTGAAGCTAGCTTTACATTTGGGGAAGCCCAAAAATAAAAGTAGCCATTTTTGCAAAATTACCAATACATCCTTGTATGCACCATGGCCAAATCAACACTTCCATTAAAATGAGTACAGATTGAGAGGGAGAGATTTGACTAAGTAAACTAAATGGTAGCAGCTGTGCAAGAAAGCAACCCAGAAGAAAGATCATAATTTGTTACCTAACTTCTCTCACATTTCATTTTCAGTGACCAAACCGAATATAAATTGACAAGGGTTTGACTCCCCTAGGTATGATTTAAAACTTAGAGATCAAACACAGAAAAGGTGAGAGGATATATCTGGCAGTAAAATTGATTTGTGTAGGCAATTTAGGGGTATCGAAAAAAAGACTTTCAAATCCAAAAGCAAATGGGACCATATCTCAACTTCATTTTTGCAAGCAAATATTGAATTTTGCTTACACGGATGGCAAACTTGAGGCTTCTTTTGCATATTCAGGGAATGAAGTCCATTACTCCAAATCTGACAAAAAGCAATCAAAACCCACACCTTTTCAATAATGACAAGTCCATCCTAATGCATGATGACAGAAATGAAATGAAATGAAAGTTGGGCCACCTCATGAACAACAAATAATGGGGTCATTGCAGTTCAAGCTTTGCATTTTGATTGATGATGGTAGTTAAGCAGCAAGGATTGGTTAGTTTCGCAATTCGTCGAGATAGATGATGTACTATTCCAAAAGTGTAAACAGAATTTCAATCAATAGCATCGTCTTTTAGAAAATGACCGGCCAAAATTTATTGTGAGAACCAGGTCAGGGTCGAATAAAGATGAGGGGATTCATAAGCTTATTTACCATTTGGGGTCAATGAGATGCTATCTCAATCTATATGTTGGCCATTGGATCAGCTGGCTGGATTCTACTATTGGTCGCAAATTTGGTTACAACTACTCCCACCCTTTTTGGCGTAACAAAAAAAATGAAACTAAGAAGTTGTCCTAAACTTATATTACCATCATGCTAAATTGATTGGCCCTAACTTGTACCAACTGATCTTAAAGCCTGCTCAAATTGGGCGTGCTCTTTCAGCTTGGAAACATTTAATACAGTGGTTAAACGGCACTGGCTGACTCATTTTGAAGAAACAGGGGCATTTGGCAGAGGATTGTGATGAAGCTTTTATGTTGAAGATCATGCTCAGTTCACATCACATTATACAATACAATTCTGGCTCAGTTTCATTCAATACACTCCATTCAAATTCTCAAAGAACTAAATCCCAGGATAAAATGAATTAAAACTCCCCACATAATAAAGTTAGAGTTGGCTGGCCAGATTGATGGATTGATATTCTTGCTGCAGTAGGCAAAGATTACCCTAATTTCTTAGGATCTAGTGTAGTGGCGTAACAGCAACAACTGAAATGAAAATCACAAATGAAATATTAAATCACAAGCAATAATCTCGTATCTGAAGACACTATACAATATTAAAAATCAAACTATTCTTACAATATTTTTATTTTAAATAATAATTTAGTTTTTTTTAATTATGCAATTTAAAATTAAAATAAAGAGAGATATAGATGTAGATGTGAATTGATAGAATTGTTTAACAGTGTGTTGATAAAATTATCTAAAATTAAGAATTGTGCAGAGAAGTTAATGAAAAAAATTTAAAATAAATCTTACATCATTTGATCAAAATAGATGAAAATTAAATCAATTTTGACCGTTGTTATGTTTTTATAAATTAAAATTTTAACTTCATAACTATAATATTAAATAGATGGATATCAAGAGCAAATACGTTACCCAATGCAAATTACAGTCCCATGTCCAGCCCCCCCCCCCCCCAAAAAAAAAAAATAATAATAATAATAAATAAACCCAACACCACAAAGATAAGAAAGGGAAACAGAAGATTGGGAGAACCAATGAAGACAAAAGAATATTGTCTCATGTCCTAAACTTCAACATGAAATTGCCAACGATGTCCAAGGTATTGGATTGGATGATGCAGAGGTATTCACAGTGATGGTGATTTCAAGGTAGAACCAATGAGTCAGTTTTGTGCATGTACAGAAACTAACATTACATTCAGTCATCTTTCCCCCTAGATATGAAAGAAGGAGCCAAACCAGGAGATGAAACCATTGATGCCTAGAATCCTATGCAGAAAGCTTGGATTTTCTCTAGCCTCTTTCCAATGCGCATCATATCGTTCAGCAGCTTCCACTCTGGCTTTGAGTGCTTTGTTCTCCCCCTCAAGCTGCAAAAGTTACAAAATAGTAAAAATCAACCTGAATTAATGGGATTGAGTTGAGGATGTTTTCATCCTCCCCATCCAATAATTCACACAATAACAGATGAAAAGGTTACTAGGGACCGCTCTAAGGAAAAATAAAGGCCTCCAATAATCTGAACTGACGGAAAAATCTTTAGATTGCAGCTGTATTATTCCGATTGAAACTAAATAAAACTAGACTCTGTTTCTACTTCCATTTTTTCTTCTACCTATTCTACTTTTTCTTACACAAAAGATGCAAGAGAGGCCATTGATTATCATAGTACGCTACTAGATAACTGCAACTTTGGGTGATAATCCCATGATATTGTTGTATGACCACCTTCCTCACTTTTTTCTCTTACCTCCTCAACAGTAACCAGAAGCTCTTCCACAGCTTGTTGCAAAGAGGATATAGTTCTTGATGTAACATCTTTGAAAGCAGATTCCACTTCCTCATCTGAATTGAAATCATTGAAAATCCCCTCTTCTATAAACAATTCCTCCAGTAACTCCATAACATCAACATCCAGTTTCCCTCTCAGCTGAATGAAAGTATAGAATTTAGATACTAGAGTATACAAAGTCATTGATCAAAAGTATCTATGTATGGATTACCTTGTCTAGGATTTTCTGACATGTCTCATCTTTAGGCAAAGAGGTAGGCCCATGGGTTTTGTCAAATTTATCTTCCTTGCATTGGACGCGGAGTGATGACTTTATATGCTTTGCTCTGCCAAAAGGTAGGTTGCAGAAAGTTTGCAAGAAAAGAAGCAAACAAACAATCTGAGTTGATATTTTA